ATCAAAATTATATTGATATATGTTCGGCGAGTCAATATGCATCACAATTTTTAAACAGATTTTGCTGAAGATCATTTCAGCTCCACATTTAAATTAAAGCCAAGGGCTGTAACGGAACACGCATTTGTCGTGGGAATTTCAGTCACAGCATTTTCAGTCTGGAATGCGCAACGGCACAAATTAATACATTTCTTGAGATGGGTGAATTCTAAATTCACAAGTAGATGTTCAACATGGAAAACATTATGCTAATTGGGGCTCCGAGTCACAGCTGAAAGACCCTCCCACATCACAACCAGTAGCTTGGGAACATTTTGGCATCCCAACAAATTACTCCAACACCAGGGAGATTGCAGTTGAAAAGACTCAGAATGTCTGTTGGCTCGGTTATACCGAACTCTGATATTTTTCTGGAAACACATCCAGCATACTGACTCATTTTAAACTACATCTGAGCGCGTGCTTTTGCCAGGAAATTCAGACCTGGCTAAAATATAACGCTAAGTTTACACTGTATGATTTTTGTTCCAGTTCTCCACTTGCCAAAAGTTTTTGGCTATCGTAAGCAAAAAAAACCCAGATCAGAGGAAAGTCGCTATTCATTTGGCACTGGTAAATCAGCGCTCGATCGCTATTAGTTCAAAGACGTGACCGAAGAGAGTCGCTGATGCATCGCAGATGCTCATCAGATAACTAGCGGGCTAAATATCTGAACCTATCGGCAACTCCAAATACTGTAGTGTGAAAAATGTTGCGACACGCAATGAGTGCAGCAATGAGCTACAGCCAATGAGAACAATTGCCAATGAGTGCAGCAATGAGCTACAGCCAATGAGAACAATTGCCAATGAGTGCGGCAACGAGCTACAGCCAACGAAAGTGCAAGACACAGGGTAAGGGGAAAGCCCATGAGAGGAGCTTAAAAAAGTACAAATAATTCAATTTGTTTAGAAACTGTTCAGGGAAGAGTTATAGAGATATTCAGTGAAAGTTTACATTTCACACACTTGAGATTAGTTGTGGCTTTAAAGTGAGATGGTGCAAGGACAGTCTCCTCAAACGCTTACTCATTCTTGATAGCACCATGCCAAATTTGTGTATGTCACTCCCTTAACAAGATCAGGCTGTGTGCAACCGGGCAAATATACAACATGTGGACAACATCATTTCAGTAACATGTTTAAATAGATTTTTAGAATTTTATTTATTTTTTTTTAACTCTCATGGTCATATCAATATTGTCGCCTCGAAGAATCGCTATTTCTAACAGAATCGGTCCCAACTCCCACCCTAGTAAATCAAAATGTACTCCATATGAACAGTAAATAAGCGTCTCTTTGGTTTTACATCACTGTCACTCTCCAAACCCAGCAACGCCTTTAACGAGCTGACCCTTCTAAAGGGGAGACCCGAAGTCAGCTGGAAACGCACTGTAACTAGTCCCTCCTCACTGTATGGCTCGCCGAAGTCAGCTGGAAACGCACTGTAACTAGTCCCTCCTCACTGTATGGCTCGCCGAAGTCAGCTGGAAACGCACTGTAACTAGTCCCTCCTCACTGTATGGCTCGCCGAAGTCAGCTGGAAACGCACTGTAACTAGTCCCTCCTCACTGTATGGCTCGGTCCCTGTATGCTAGTGGAAAAGGGCCGTAAAACAGACTCCCACCTTCTCCATTCGCAACTCACTGTGCCCCACTGCATCACCAAAACAAAGGAGCACTGTCATGCTCATAAAGCAGGAACTGACATGAAAACACAAACATCGAGAGTGACGTCAAGATGGCAGCCATACAATACCCCTAAAAATGACCAGGAGTGTATTTACATGCCCGAACCAGATCAACATGTTGAGATGTTATCCACAGGCTGGGAATGGAGCAGAACAGCATTGCAGACATTCCATACTGAGCTGAGGCCTGATCTACCTCTGACGCGACCTGCAGCACAATACAAGTGGACTATAACTCAGCCAACCTTCCAAACAAACCCTCAGTCTAATATAAAAAAAAAAAAAAACACATTACAATCCTGTGAGTCACGAGAACCTAAAGGGTTCCAATTTAAAGACTCAGGATGAATTAAGTCACCATGATTATGCCTGAAACATCCAGTTAAATAAATTGGTGGCAGGTGACAGAGCAATCTATGTGTGCGCTGAGAGACACTGAAGGGCCTTCATAATTAAAAACACGAGAAGGAAAAAAGGGTAATGACAGTTTCAGTCAACCGAAAGGAAAAGAGGCAAACACTGAATACCTTATCATCACAATTGGTAGGTCACGTTTGACCATTAACACGCCTTGAGCAGCCCGACACGCCTACAGACACGCAGGCAGGTCAGCGGACAGCCGGTGGGGCCCTCCAGTTACTCGCCTACCGCCTACAGATGGCTCACGCTCCCTGAGTATGCTCTCAGGAATCCATATGAAATATGCTGAGGTCTTCCTTACTTCCTTTGACGATCGTAAGCATAATGCCGTCATTCAGAAAGGCCTTAGGAAGAATCAAGGGGGGGGAATCAGCTTTGTGAAAGAGATAATCTCAGGAAATCTGTTCATAAATTTGCCAGAGTTGCATCTGAAAGTGTTCGGACTGGATAGGGCAGCAAGGGGGAGGCAGACAGTGCTGGGGAAGGAAAGAGCGAGGAAGTGTATCTGAACGCGTGTGGCTGCAGCACAGGAGGCCGTCACAGGACATGTTTACATCCTGAAAGTCCAACTTCCTGCATCGGCCGGCACAGCTATCAGCAGAGGCTGCTCTTCCTAAAACCAGCTCTGGGTGCGAAGACCGTCCAAAATCCTACAAACACACACACCTTGCGGTGACACTAATGCCCATTCCGGCAAAGACAATGTTTTACACCGAAATGCGACATCTAACTGGGATCTATAAATTACAAGAGGTCTGATGAAATTTGCTTGCAAGCCCTTATCTCTCACAATTTTATTATTACTACCATTATTTTAATACCCACTGCGAACACTGTTACTATTACATGTAGCCATTGCAAAGCTCGCAAAAATAAAATAAAAACTCTGAAGCAGTTTAGCATTTTGCTGAAACGTGCTACATGTCAGAGAAAGATCGTCTTGGTGACCCATAACACATAATCACCCAGCAGTTATCTGCTGCATCAGCACCACTGAAGGTTAGAGCCGCTCTCCTGCACAGAGCTCTCCCACAACACTTCCAGCCTCCGCCCATCACTCAAGGGGGTGGTCCACAGGAAGCTAGGGAGGGGAGAGCAGCTGCCTTGCTGAGCTCAGCAGAACTGGGGCAGAAGGCTCCTGAAAGCAGGCTATTAAATCCCCCCCCCCCCCCATATGCTACTCAACGAGTAGGTAACAAAGAAATGTAGAGGAACGCCGTACATGGAAAACAAAATATTTTTCCACTGTATATTTGATCTCATGACTACATTCTTTGGCGCTAACGAGAAATACGACTTCGTCACTGTACTTATGATTCATATGGTTTGTCATAAGACCGCATTATTCTGTATTTTACATCACCACGTAGGCACATTCATTGCCTTGCATTGCCCCTCATAGTCACAGCAACATCTGCGAAAACTGGTAAAACATGTCCCAAATCATACGAGGGAGCTCTACAGAGACGGAACAAAATCTTATTAAAATGCCCATTGACGCAGTACGGATGTTTCCTCGACAAACAGTGGCAATATGCTGTAGGAGGGGTAGCGAATGGACATGTTTTTATCGTGGATATGAAACGCATGACAGGAGAACGGCCATCGGGACAGGCGAGCAGAAGTCGCGGGGGAAACGGCGTCCGCCCGTCCAGTCCAGGCATGCCTGTCATTTCGCCAATAAAGTTAAAAATTTATGAATATGAACAACATCGGTATGACTAATGACAATGACGAATAATTAAAATAAGGAATAATTACAAAATAATAATGAAATTGATAATAATAGAAACTTTCACTTCGGCACTTTAACGCCTTATGCAATTCCAGCCACACGTTAAGACTGGAATTTATGACTTTTCCCCAGCTTAAAAGTATGAAAGTGTAACGAAGTTTAAACTTTAATTCGGGAACCGAAGCTGCCAACTATTACAAACGTATTAGATTAACTATTAAAGACGCCCTTAGGGAAAACGGGATGATCTATTACTTCAGTTAATCAGCAATGATCCAACAAGTACTTTTGAGCAGTAATTCAACGATGTTCAGCATATCACACAACCCCCCCCCCCCCTACACACAATAGGACTTTAAGACTCATTTTGTGACAGAATACGCTCCCGAAAAAGAAAGTTACTCTCTAACCTGGCTGGCTTTATAAAACTGCTTCTTCAAACCCGCCACGGACATCTTGGAAGCGGACTTTATTCCTAAGTTCTCGCAAACGGCTTCACGGACAGTTCTGCCCGGCTGCTACACGCATTCAGCTCTCGCGCTCCGCTTCCTTCCCCCGCGGCCCAGTAGGAATCCCGCAGCGCAATAACCACAGCGACTTCCTCTACGGAACGGCACGCTGGCATTCCCGAGGGGCCGGGAATCTAGGCGAAACCCGCTACGTGGAACAAGGCGCCCCCTGCTGCCCAGGATGACAACGTGCAAAGCACAGCATTTTCGGCTGCAGGTGTTGGTGCCTGGGCAGTGTCAATACCCTTAAAGGGACTACTTGCATTTGGAGTTGGAGACTCACCATATATATATATAAATAATATTTATGCTACTAAAACAATAAAAGCCTTTAGTACAGCTGCGCTCTTATAAACAATGCTTTCCAAACTATATGTTCTTAGTAGATTGGGTTGACCAGCATAGATGGAATCAGCATCGTAAATATGATAAAACGTTTTTCATAAACATCTTTTAAGTAGGATTAATTTTGCTTTTGCGATTTATTCTTCCAACCACTAGAAGGCGCTATTGCAAAGTTTAATGTTGATTCTGAATATTATCCATCGTGTGATTTTGCAACCGTAATGTACTTAAACCACTCATACACTTTGTGTAAAAACTTTTATTACATTCTTAATACAACAAACTGTGTTCCAGTTATACAACAATATATCTCTGCTATTAACTTTATACTTTGTATCTTTAAATATTATATATATATATATTTCATCAACAATACAGACCTTTCTTACTCATACAAAAGTATGACCGAAGACACAAAAGACAATTATATTGTTGGAGATGGCATCTGTTTTGTTTCTGTTTTTTAAAAAAATAGAATGACAATTTTACAAGACAAAATAACCTAAACATGACAAGATAAAAAAGATACCAGAAGACAAAAATATCTCCAACTGGACACATTTCAAGAATTAAATGAATATATAACTTTTACATCCTAAATCTTTTAGTTTCATGTAACAACATCAAAATAAGACAAGGACAAAGTCTTTGACACGTTTATGATTAACATTCACAAGGACACAAGAACTATTGTACACAGTGATCAAGGTTTAAGGTCTTCTGTTCAGTGTAAAGTGTCTTGGTTAACAGAACATGATATCGGGGATGGAAAAAAAATCAGTAATCTTCCTGAGTGACTTTGTGAATTTGCACATATCCCCAGATCATCTTTTACAGGTAGGGGCACTTGAGGTAGAACTGGAAAATGAAAACAAATTTTACAGTGCCATAACACTCAAACGCCAACAACCTGTCGGTCACCATTCAATCTCTGCAACAGAAGACTGGTGAATAGGTACTGATGGGCATATGAAGCTTAGGGGTGAGCTGGTACAGCGTGGGACGGTTAGGGCTCCTGACCCTCACGAGGGGATCCACAAGCACAGGTGAACCCGATTCATTGCATGGTCCCATAATGTCTACTGAGCAGTAGTCTTATTTTATAGTTGTGGTTGCATGAACACATACTACATCACACGTGTGGAACATTCTTATTTAGTACATGCATTTGTAATTGTGTTACAAATGATTACCTAAAGGCATTAGTCAGAGGAAAAGAGAGGTAGGACTGTGGTCTTTCAGCTTTTATGTCCATTATCTGTGATATGTCTATCTCTGTGTTAATGGTCTAAACCGTGGCGGTCAGTGGTGTGTTTATATTACCATGTAGCCTTGTGCATAAAGTAAAATGCAGTATTTTATCATCCTGTATATCTGTACAGTATATCTGTACGCCACAGAAGTAAAACAACAAAAAAATGTTGGTTTATGTTCCCGTTCCAAATGACCTTTTCAACATCCTTTTGTCCATTTTCTAACTGCTTGTGCAGTACAGAGTCACAGGGGAACTTGACCCCTACCCCAGGTAATACAGGGCACAAGGCAGGGAAAACCCAGGACAGAATTCAGGACCATTACAGCAGTGCTTCCCAAGCCAGTCCTCAGGGACCTACAGACGGCCCATGTTTTTGCTCCCTCCCAGCTTCCGGAGCAAAAACATGGACTGTCTGGGGGTCCCTGAGCACCGGGTTGGGAAACATCGCATTACAGATCACATACACACTTTGAGATGCTAATTTACTAACTGCATTACTTTGGAGCACAGGAGGCAATTAGAGTACCTGCAGCAAACCCACACAGTACTGGGAGAATATACAACACACAAACAGAGTGGGGTTGGGTTCAAACCTCCAACCCTGTAGGTCAGAGGCAGCAGTGCTATCCACCAAGTTATTGTGCTACCTGTTATCTGAACAAATAATATACAAATTACAGATTACATTCTTAATTATGGAAAAAAATGAAGTGTCGCTTTCAGAAAGCACACAGTGTAGTTAGAGAATTTTTTTAAATACCTGGCTTGAAGTTGGGAATGAATTGCTCTGGAGCTCATTTAGGCGTCATTTAGGGTCTGTACCAAACACACATACGTAGCGTTCTGAAGTGTCCAATATAAGAATCATATGAGGATTTCAATCTGTGACCTTGTGTTCCATAACTGCTCATAACTGCTCATAACTGCTCATAACTGCTCCACAAGAGGCTGCACCGTGTTCCAGGACATCTGCCCCCCCCACTCCCCAGGGCTGGGTCACATGAATGTGGGGTACATTCCGTAAGGAGAGGGCATCTCCAAAAGACTTAGTACATATCCTTTCTTGGCCCACTGTGATTATCGCGTAGTGATTCAGCAGAGAGAACCTCTTTGTGCGCAAATAGTGTTCTGCAGGACTGTTTTCTCATGTTTCAATATATCTCAGCCAACCCCCTTGCTACCCCACCCCACCCCACCCCAGGACAAAGTTTAGCTCTCAGCGAAGTCAGGGAAGGAGATGTCACTAGCGAACACCTCCCTGTAGAGGGCAGGGAAGCTGTATGTTGTCTCTGGATGGACCAGCCGGAAAAACTGCAGCTTGTCGATGTGCAGGTTGCAAATGGACTTCATTATGGGTAACTTGGACACCATCTATAATTACAATATTTTACAATTTGCATTAATGGGATGTAAACAACTTTTACATAAGATTGCCTCACTATTAAATTGTGATTCATCTCTTTCAAAGATGGCACATTTTTATAAAAAAACATTTTATATTATAATAATTAACATAATATATAAGCAGTCCAGCTGCCTTACCTTGGCCAGTTTTTCCTCAGTGGCGCCACTCTGGTGGAGAGAATATTGCAGTGCAATGTAGACCCTCTCCTGCAGCCTCTGGATTTGCAGAATGTCTGTAAGCCACGGCCGGTCTGGGGGCGGAGAAGGGGCACCATAATTACTGTTACAGGACAACACAGGATAAAACGGCAGAGAAGCTGTAAAGTGTGTCTGTGTGACTCGTCCGCATTCTCCTGACATACCTGGTGAGAGCAGGATGGCGGCCGTGAAGAGTGCCATCTCCTCGTCGGACATCTGCAGACGACACAGGCCCCTGGCCAGCTCGAACACGGCGCCAATGAGGTCGTCACAGCCTGGGGGGACAGTGAAACCCTGCACGGTCAGCAGGATGGCACCTCCCCCACATCTATCGATCCGCAAGCCTGAGCAGACGTGGACTAAAGAGGGCAGGTAGGGGACGGTCATGCGTCTGGCTCACCCAGGGCCTTGAAGAGCTGGGAGCTGGCAAACTTGCCATCAAACAGCATGGTATTGTTGATGGGGTTGTACGCTCGGCTCATGCGGAGCAGCAGCACCTCCAGGCATCCTGGGTGGGGGGTGGAGGGGAGGGGAAGAGAGAGAACAGAGAGAGTGAGTGGGACACAAGAGGACACGAGGCACTCCAAAGAGGTCAGACCCAGATGCAGGAATTAGTTTCGTTCCAAATAGAAATAATAATAATAAAAAAATTTGGAAGCATTACGAAAATAACTAAGGAAAATATCATTTTGTAACAGAGATCATTGCCAGTTTTACCATTATAGTTTTCTGCCTCTGGTTTAACCTTAATAAAAACATCCCACAAAGTACTAATTGCCTGATAGCATTAAAAGAGCCATTAGTGGCAAAGCAGCAAATGGCAAAGTTCCGTTTCGGCGGCGTCGCGGCGCTGAAGTCATACTGTGACGAACACCATCCGGCACTGACCTGCCTTCAGGAGGACGATCTGGTCGTTTTGGCAGAGGTCCATGAAGCCGGTGATGCGCTTGGCGAATTCCACCACGTACTGGATGGCGCCGGTGATGTGATGGGCACACAGCTGCCACATGGCCTCTGCGGACTGCAGGCAGACACAAGTGTCACATGCAACACCCCTGCGCAGAGCGCTCACCCAGTGATTGGCTAACGATAGAGCTGGCTCCATTTAAACCACAACATAAAGCAGAGGCACATGATCGATGCTCTGCAGTATTGACTGAAAAAGCTCAACCTCGTTGATAATTCAGGTCCAGAGAGTAAAATCCAGACCAAGATTTTGTTTCAACCAATCAGTTGAGTATAAAGAGTCACAATCACAGAGTACTCAGCTGGTCGGTTGAAACAAAATCTTGGTCTGGACTTTTACTCTCTTGACCTGAACTACCCACCTCTACACTGCACAGATCACACAGTGACATTGAAGTGTGGCCAAAGTGGCTCAAAGACAAATACAAAAAAATAATATCTTTCTCCTTTCTAGAGGAGCAGCAGAGTGCAGATTTGTGCCCTCCATGCTTTGCTGAATTTCAGCAGAACATGACTCCTTCATCAACCCAGAACTGGAGCACTGAAGCCATCCCGCCCGTGGGCCAACAATGGTGGTGCGCTGACCTTGGTCTGGAAGCTCCGTGTCTCCTCCGGGGTGTACAGGGTCCAGGCCAGACGCCTAAGCTCCTCGCTGCTATACCGGCACGTCTCCATGTGCGAACGCACAATATTCTGCGTGACGCGCTCTGTGGGGGGACAGATGGCAGCAGTTTAGTCTAAATGCTGCTAAGGATCTCACAAAGGCTGACACCAACACAAACCTCTAACTCCACGGGGGAGCGATTTTCATTCATGGCATCATATCTTTGGCTAACGTGGTAGTTCAGTGGGAGACACTGAAGCCTCAGTCTATGAAGGTTGGGCTTCAGCGCCTGCCCTCGCTCCATGTGTGGGGAGTTACCTCCTGTAGTTCAAAACATGTGGTTTGTTGTGTCTCTAGTTCAGCGTTTCCCAATCCAGTCCTTCACATGGACTGTCTGGCAAGGAGCTGGGAGGGAGTAAAAATATGGACCGGCCGTGGGTCTCTGAGGACTGGACTGGGAACCAGTGCTCTAAATTGTCTGCAGAGTGTGTGCTTTGAAATGGACTGGCATTTCATCCAAGGTGTCTCCAGCCTCATGTCCTGTATTTCGTAGGACAGCCTCCAGCTTCATCGTGACCCATCACTAAATACGGATTATGGATGTCGAACAGCTACATGTAAATTTGTAATGCCCTTGTAATGCGTTCAGCTTAACGAAATCTTACTGGCATTAAACACACAGTAAGTCCAGACGCAGACATACGTATCAGCAAATTCACATCGAACGAGGGATACAGATGAAACAGCACATACAGTAGAGGCTTTGAGGGATGTTGCCATGGCGACGTACCAATCTCGAGCAGCGAGCATCCATCGGACAGTGGGCTGAGCAGCTCGTGTGTGAAGACGCCGGCGTCGTGCAGCAGTTGATAGCCATGCGTGACGTGGCCGCCATCCGTGCCGTCCGGCCCGCCCTGCTCCGGGGAACTCTGCGCAGACAAGCTGCCGACACCCCCCGCAGAAGCTCCCAGAAGCAGCTCGGGGCCGCAGTAGGCCCCCAGGCCATCCAGCGTCAGCGGCAGGTCGAACAGTAGCCCGTCCAGGTCACTGAGTGAGGCACTGGAGCTGCTGCTGCTGCTGGCACGGCTGAGGCCCCTCGCCGGCTCCGCCCCTTCCTCCTCAGGGGCCACGCCCACAACCCCACCCTCCTGCGTCCGCTTGTGCCTCTGCACCTCGGCGTACAGGCTGTCCCGCTGCTTTTTGGACATGCGTCCGAACTTGACTGCTGTTAGGAGACACATGGGGAAGGCAGGTCAACAGAGATCACAGATGGGCTCGAAGACACACTCACACAGTACTGGGCAAAAGTCTTAGGCCATCAAAGACAGGAAGCCAGTCCATCACAGAGCACACACACACACACACACACACACAC